TCAAGTATAGCAGGGATTGTGGGGCTGGTGCGGGATCGGGCAGTGTTTCGTTCTGCTGTGCATGGGGTTACTACGAGTTGGAAATGACTCGACGGCACTTAACAACAACATTGTTTTTGGCCGCCCAGCATTCGTTTTCTCCTTCTTTTTACAGCTCCTCCCATTCAACTCCCAGTACCCTCATTTCCTTTGAAGAACAGATTCTCCTTTAATCTATATACACAGATGGGACTGCCAATCAGACTATGTCCCTCTCTCCATTCTATTCACCCTCAACTATCCAAAGGATGAGCATTTAACCCAAATCAGGTCAATGAGAATCCAAACCCAGAACTTTAAAAATTAAAGGTGAAAGGGTAGTTTTCTTTTGTTGGATGACAAATGTTAAGTTGGTGACTCAAGAGCTTTTCTCATCTATATTCCCCACCATATGAAGGAACAATTTGTCAAACACAAAACCCAGATGGAAATAAGAAATTGAAAGGTGGAAATAGATTCCTCAAATTCTGTCTATATTCTTGACTTTTTAGCTTGTTTTTGTGAGCTAATAAAGTTCTTTTTGATTAATTTTATACGAATATCCACTTACAATTGTCTAACACAAAGAATTTAAACATGCATAATACCTACATGACCCTTTCTTAAGTAGTCAAGATGTTTCTCCACTGCAGTCTGTAAGTAAGTGGGTACTTGGAGAATTTCCTGATGATGATCCATTAAGAAAGAAACTAATCTTGTGGCAAGAAGCTCATCAAGATCTACTTCTTCTGCACAGCATAGCACACACCGAGAAAAAGTATGTATCATCTAGAAACATTAAAAGACGTGAATTTAAAACCTAATGTTTCATATAAATCAGAGTATCAGTAATTTAGAATAGATTTATGAAGCACCAAGATAAAGTGATATGCAGATTTCAGCTTAAAAATTAATTATTATCGTTAAAAAGATAATAATGTCTGTTATGTTTGAGTCCTTTTCAAAATACTTGTTAAATATTTCCTTAATTACAAAAAGGTTTATACAAAGCCTTTGGCTTTTCTTTAGTTTTGTTACAATTCTATCAACAAACATCAGATGTTCCATTAATACCATATAGATATAAGTTGCTTAAATTTTAAGATTTTAGAGAACAACAATTTAATGCATTCATGTCACAAAAACAAGACAGGATAATATATGATATATAGAACACTTGTACTCATCAGTGGTTGCAAAGTTGGTATTACTTATCTTTTGAAACTCTAGAAATTAGTATTTAATGCTTATTTCATCAGGTTTTAAATAACAATACATAATACTTACATTGTTTAATTCCATTATAAGGAATCTTTAAATTCTGGGATAAATTTCGTGTTTCAATATTCATTGACTCTCACTCATACTCACATAACCCACTAAACACACACATATTCACCCTAAAATAATTAGAATATTAGACATTTTAAGTATTCCATGCATAGTAAATGATTATTCATATTAACTGAATTGAAATGTTTTTGGGTTTCATTCTACCTGACAGGCTTCTCTATCTCCTTCCAAGGCTCAGTCCATGGAAGAAAGTTTGTTTCATTTTTTTTTTCTACATTCTGAGCCTTGGAAAGCTCATCTACTTTTATAACTTCAATTACTATCACTATGTGGATGATTAAAAAATCTGCCTTCTGGTCACCTCTTTTCAACAGGTTCACATTTCTAACAGAATGTGGAATATAATTCATTTACATGAATGAATTATAGAACCTAGAACCTCGAACTCAAAAAGTATAAAACTAAAATTAACACCTTTTTCACATCTCTCAAAACATCTTCCTCTGCAAACTTCCCTGTGACTTTTTATGGTACCATGGTTACTCAAGAATAATTCTTTTTCTTCATATTAAGTCTGAAATTATTAAAGGATTGTCCTGAATAATGAAGGAAGGAAGAATACAGTTTAGCTCCAGATCCATCGGTGCTAAGAGAACCTCTTGTAAATTGAAACTATAATCTGAGGATGTAGCAACTCTTTAAAGGAAGAAGAAAAAAAAAAGAGATCAGAGATACTATTCCAAGGTTGAATTTCCAATTATTCCCTGCATATAAATGCTTCCACCCCTATCCTTACTAGGAGCTTGTGATTGCTTGGCAATAGTGTCTCTCAGCTTCTTGCCACAGTGACCTGCCTTCATAATCAAATACAACTTTCGTATTATTGCACTGAAACACTTTGATTTATGGTATGTGAATTTCCCATTAGTTATCTACTTTCACAGAATTAGAGTGATCTTAATATTTTCACAGTACTTACACATCACTTCTTCCCTCCACCAAACAGAATTGGCACAAGGAAATATAATGTGGTTTGACAGGCTGGGTCAATCACTAGGAAGTGATACAGAATAAGTGAAAAGGCAGAGTGCAAGGTCAAGATAAAGACCAGAATGTCAAAGTGTTTAACAGATCTGACACAAATGATTAATGCACCAATATTCTGTTGCTAACAAATGCAGAGAGACTCTCTAATGCAAGAATCTAGGATTTCAAGAATAAGACATTACTAGAGTAGTACTTTTAAATGAATTTTTTTTTTTTAGGGGGTGGGGTGGGGGGTGGGTTATACACCAGGGGTTATAGAGTAGCTTTATGTCAGGATCGACTCAATGGCAGTGGATTTACATTTTTGGGTATTCTTTCCTTAAGAAATCAACTTACCAGTGACCTTGTACCCATGGCATCATGGAGTTTGGGCATATCAACATTTTGACTCATTCGAGAAGTCATACGCATTAAAAGTTGAAGCTTTCTACGATTTGGTGGAGGAAGTAACAAGCAACATAACTGCAGAGCATTGATGGCAACCCTCTCTAAATGAGGCTGTAGCAAACCTAAAAGGTAAGTTACCAGTGAAAAACAGACAAAACAAAACAAAAAACCACCACTGATAGTAATTCATACTACAAGCATATACAGTTAGCATATAAAGAAGGCAAAACACTATTCTAGTCATTTCTTTATTTCTAGAAATTTTCATTCTTTAAATCTTGATAAGTTTCTCATGATTTTCTTCACAACCTATTTGTAAGTGTTAAAGTCCTTCACTTACACAAATAAAGTGACTCAGAATAAGTGAAATGGAAGGAAAGAAAATAAGTTGTTTTAGATAAATAGAATAAATCTTGGTTATGCCATGAGAAAAGTCTTTTAAAATAAGAGACACTTTGCTTTCAGGAGAAAAATAATAAAGCAATTTAAGAGAAGAAAAAACAGGTAAGCAAACATAGGGTTAGTAAATACTAAAAGTTAACATTTCATGCATTCAAAGCATCAACCTTACTTTGTGTGCCAGTCAATACAGTTGAAGCTGGAGAAAAAGAGTTTTCTGAAAGTTCTATTGTACTTCTGCAGAGTCTTTTACTGAATGTGGTACTATACTCTCCGGGTTGACTTTCCGTATCTGTTTGTACACTTGTGCTGCGTTGTCCAAGATGAATGATATGATTTGGTTTCATGGTAATTTCAGCCACTGGTGTATTGATATAACTATCCTTTCTTGTACTACTTCTTAAAAGCAAACTCTGAGATCTACAAAGCTGCTTTGACTTGCATTTCCCATTATATAACTCCTCTTGGTCTTGTACAGTCAAAGCAGAGGTTCTCTTAAAACCAACACAGAGGGGCTTTTGAATACTTTCCTCTGAATGAAGATTCAATAAGCGTTTAGATTCTAAAAATTGTTTATTTTTTTGTACTTCTATATTCAGAATAGATTGATGGAAGAGACTGGAGACCTCTTTACTTGAGTTGTCTGCTATATCTACAATTCCTTCCAAAGAATAGCACTTTGGTTTGATGTTAGAAGATAGAGCATACATACTACTTAAGCCTATTAAATTATGACAGCTTCCTCCCACTATGTCGTTAGCAATGACTCTTCCGTTTCTTAAATTAACTAGTTGCATTTTCTTAGCACATCTTTCTTGAAATCCTTGATCACTTATCTGTAGTTTCTCAGTAGAATCTGATTCTTCTTTGTTTTTGTCTTTATGAAGCAGACTGAGAAGAAGACACTCAGTTGATTTGAAGGAATTCAAATTGTTTAAGTGAAGGATTTTTGAAGACTGTGGATCATCTTGGATTTTATGTATCCCACTGGGTCTATCAGAAACTGTGATGTAGCCACAAACAACTACCAGGAAATGAAACAAAAATTAAGATGCAACTGTATGACAGTGGACAAAAATAAAACAAAACAATAGTAAAGTAAAAAATAAGCATGACTATAGTATATATTGTTAGTTTAGTACAAATAGCAGTTATTTAATTCAGAAGCCATTTAAATAAGACACATGCAACAAACATTCAGGTACAAACATGCAAGACTGATAAGAGGTTTTCCACTTGTGATATAAATAATGTTAAAAATTATTTCAACAGTCCAATTAAATGTGCTACACCAGAATACATTTAAATACATATGCTCTCAGTCTACAAGAACTAAATACTTCTTAATTATAAGGTAACCACAGCATCACTGAACTTTAAAGTAACTCAGTCTGTCATCTTCATATCTACCTATACATTTACATCTTTTAATTATGGAAAGCTTTAGGATTTTGATAAAATGAATTAATTAAGTGAAAATCCATACATACCCAAAATATTCACAAATAATTCATAATATTCAAAAGTAAGTAGAGGTTCAGGGAGATCTAGAAAATAATCTGCAATTGTTTTGAATACATCTCGTTCAAATCCAACATAAGTTGGGTTATTCATATCATTACATCTTGGCCCTAAAATATAGAAGACAAAACAACATCAGCAAGATATATATATACATATATATATATATACACACACATATATATACATATATATCTATAAAAAGTATGAAACTTTTATTTCATGAAGGAACTATGCTTTAACAACAAACTCTGCCATAATTTAAAATTTTACAGGGTTATGCACATCTTATTCCTTCTCATTTTCTATTCACTGGAAATCACTGTAAGCGATTACTAAAATTTTATTTTATTTTAATATTTATGTGTCTGAAAAACTGTATATAACTAAAAATTTCAAAATTTTATCATACTTTATAAAAAAGGATTAGTGAAGTCCATCTTTAATGGGACTTAATTGTAATCTGTTTTTTAAAGCAAAGACTATCTGGATAATGCAAATAATTGCTCCAAATTATCTTTTGTAAATTTACATTTTCATAAATAAATTTTGCCTGGCATGAAAGCATACCCTTAATCATTTAAAATAAAATCTTTATACTGTTTTTTTTTAGCCTAACATTACTATTAAAATAATCATGCCCATTCATTAATATCTATCTCAAAAGTAAGTTCTGGGGAGGGAGAAGGGAATGTGGAACAAAATTCAAAATCATAAAAATGATCAGGCTTGCTAGTCTGATAGAAACTGGTGCAACCTCTGAGATTGTGGCCCCTAGTCACCTTTGGGCTTGGAATTGAACTTACTCCCATGGCTTCCAGCCAAGCAATAGACAGGCCTATAAAGTGAACATTTATGTCAGGGAGTTGAACTCCTTAGAACAATCAACAATGGGAGATCAGAAGGACAACATTTGCACAGGGAAATAGCTCAGAGAGCATGAATGCAGAGGAAAGGACATAAGGTAAAGGTAACCACAGGGAGAAAGTGGGAAGAGAGCTGTTACGTTATAGGGATTGCAGTCCATGTCATGAAACAAAATATGTATGTACTGTTAAATGCAAAAGGAATTTGCTAAGTAAACTATCACCCAAACCACACACACACACACAAAGTAAGTTCTGTTCTTCTATCATAGGTGAAGAAACTAAGGGTTAGAATGTTGTTGTTGTTATGTGCCATCAAGTCGGACCTGACTCATAGCGACCCCTCCTTGGGTTTCCGAGGCAGTATCACCATGGAAGTAGATTGCCCCATCTTCCTTCCGAGGAGTGGCTGGTGGGTTTGAACCACCAGCCTTCTGGTTAGCAGTCGAGTGCCTGAGGCACTATGCTACCAGAGCTCCCATGGTAGGCACAAGGCTAGAATTAGAATTCACAGCAGTGTATAGTAAGAACAAAGCACAGGACTTTAAGATCCAACAGTATTTAAAGTGTGGAAATAGACAACATATATCAGGATCGGCCATGATGTGTCTACACATACATACAAATTCCTCTACCAGACTAGAATCTATGGTGGTGAAGCTAGGAATTTCCACATTTAATAAGCAGAAGACTCTCTAAGGCTTGTTTATTGAACTCTGGGGGAAAAAAAATACTTAGTATGTTATACTGATTACTGAGTGCTCTGTCTCACAGGATTACTGTGGAGATTAAATAAGGAGTTAAGTAAGTTTTAATACTACTCCTGGCTAAATACATCGTTATCTAATAAATTACATATTTGGTATTAGAGCTGTTACTGGACTGGGAAGAGAGGGAAGATACAAATCCCTAAAGAAGGGACATTAGAGAAATCCCTGTAAATATACTTATCTGAGTTGCTAACCAGGAGCCAAAGTATGAGAGATGGGTGTGCAGATAGAAGATATATATATATTTTTTTAAAATTTGAGTTTATTAACAAGATCTTTAACTTGATTTGATAAATAAATAATATCTGTGACTTATTCATTTTATTGCAATTAATTCTGTCATTTTGTTATATTGACATCCAGTGGACAATAAGGGAACATATCCTTAACTTGAACATTAATAACCCCATTATAGTTTTAAACATATTAATTTTTTTAAAACTAGAAGAAAATGCTTTAATTAAAACTATAACAATACAATTTAACTTTTGGTGATTTAGAAGGATATACTTTTACACATTTTTTAAAAAATTTTGAAAGTGATTAAGGTTTTATACTTGAACAAGGGTATTAAATTATAAGAATCATTTATCACTGATTACCACAGAAAAGTTTGATTGATTAAATGATAAATGATTTGCTGATTAATGACAGATCATTTTTTTTTCATAAACATAAGAGCCCCATCATGGAGTAGAGTGTTTGGAAAGTTTTATGGAATAGTAGTAAATAAAGCACCTGAATATTGAGTTCCTATACAATGGCAAGGCAATAGAGTGGGCTTCATGAGACTTCATTTCTGGCTGAATCGTTTTCACTTAAAAGCTGCTTTGCTTTGGATCTGCCATTTGAACTCTCTGGGCCTCACTGAGGCAACTGGTATCGATTATACCAAAAGCCCTGTGAACTACTCTAGCCTTGGATTTTATTATTTGTGTTACCTGAGCTATACATGATGGGCTTGAATTATTAAATTTCCTTCTGCACAGAAAATGTCAAGGGTTCTATAACACATTTCAGTACAAAGAAATATAATCAGTTCTACTAGACTTTCACTGAAACATTAAGAGAAAGGATATAGTTTAATTTTATCAGGATATCTTAATCACTTTAAGACTTTCCTTAGTTCCTGCTAAATACTATTAATATAAAATACTTCTTTGTTTAACTTACAATTTGCGAGGCACTTCATGGCAGATAATACCCAGTGAGGGAGGTCATCTAAAAAAAAAAAAAGCATTTTTAAGTAAATCACACAATTATTGTAATCGTATATTTTAAAATCTCATATTTACTATTGATAATTATATATACATATAATATATATGGTGGTGTAGTGCCTAAGGCATTTGACTGCTAACCAGAAGGTTGGTGGTTCAAACCCCCCAGCCACTGCATAGAATAAAGATTGGGCAATCTACTTCCATAAAGATTTACTGCCTCAGAAACCCAAAGGGGGTCGCTATGAGTTGGAGTTGACTCAGTGGCAGTGAGTTTGGTTTTGGTTTATATACCCACAAACATCTACCAGTGGTTTGAACCCATAAGCTGCCCCATGGGAGAAAAGACTTGCCATCAGCTGCCATAAAGATTACCACCTATGAAACTCCAGGGGCGGTTCTACTCTGTCATATAGAGTTTCTCTATGAGTTGAAATTGACTCAATGGCACACAACATAAACTACAGGGTTAAAAAGTATTGTATGCTCAATATGACATAGAATCAAGTCAATACTTTTAAATATATCTTAAAACATTTACAGACTTTGAGTTTGCCTCTTACAATGTATGAAACAACTGTTATTATTGTTAGGTGTCATCAAGTTCATTTTGACTCATAGCAATCCCAAGTACAACAGAACACTGACTAGTCCTGTGTCATCCTCACAGTCATTGCCATGCCTGAGTCTGTTATCACAGCCATTGTATCAATCCATCTTATTGAGGATCTTCCCCTTTTTCACTGACCCTCTATACCTGCATGATATCCTTCTCCAGGGACTGGTTCCTTCTGGCAATATGAACAAAGTATTTGAGACAATGTCTGGCCATTCTTGCTTCTAAGGATCAATCTGGCTGTACTTCCTCCATGACAGATTTGTTCATTCTTCTAGCAGTTGTTGGTACAGTCAATATTCTTCATGAACATCTCAATTCAAATTATGAGTACAGTAATTGTGTGATTTACTTAAAAATGCTTAAATAGTTATTCATTGTCCAGCTTTCAAATGCATATGTGCCTATTAAAAATGCCATGGCTTGGGTCAGGTGTACCTTATTCTTCAAAATGACATTTTTGCTCTTAAACACTTTAAAAAAGGTCTTGGAGCAGATCTGCCCAGTGTTGTTATGTTGTTGTTAAGTGCCGTCGAGTCGTTTCTGACTCATAGCGACCCCATGCACAGCAGAA